TGACGACCCGTACGTCGCACTTGTGGCTGCGGAAGGATTCCAGGAAGAGGTGGCAAGTGTGCGGGTCGTGCCGAAGCGGGTCGAGCGCGCCCTTGCTGCCGGGCGCAGACTGTCGCCTGGCGAAAGCGTGCCAGGTGCCAGTGAACGTTGGCCCCAGTGTGACTTGGAGTCGTCTGATCGCCTCGCCGGGTGTCTCCCCGGGGAAGTCCCACTGGATGTTGTTGATTTCTGTTTTGTACAACTGCCGTCCCGTGTCGGGGTCCTTGGGCTCTGGCCCTTGGCGCGGGTCAGGCTATTGGTGCTGCCGTGTATCCTGGCCGCAAGTCTCCAGCGCACCGGCCTCGTTGTCCTGGCCGGAGGGCTCGCGGTCTGCACGCGACAGTTCCAGCTGCCCGCCTGGCGGGGTTCTGCGGGGAGAAGCAGGCCGCATGGTTGGCCGCCAGGCGGGGGTCGGATCGTTTCCGGCAGCCAGGGCGGACGCTGCCCTGTGGTGCGTGGGGGGGCCCTTTTCGCTGGCGTTCGCCTTCGGGCCTGTGCCCGCCGTCGCTCCCAAGTGCGTCCCCTTCGGTCAGCGCGGGGCTCTCTCCGGTCTCTGGGGTGCCGCTGGTTCTGCCGGGCGCGTGCACGTGCGGCGTCGCAGTTTCCATTGCCGGAGCACGAGATTCTTTGCCAGTCGTGCCCTGGACGTGTGGAGAGGGCGCCTGGGGTTCGCCGCCCATAAGAATGGGTTCACTGACCGGGGAAGGGGGGCGAATAGGCGCGAAGGGGTTTCTCCCGACGAGCCAGTGGATGGCTTCGCTGTCCTGCGTCTGGGCGGTCGGTCCGTGGCCCCCCTGCTGGTTCTGTGGCGCTCCCAGAGGACTGCTGACGGTCTGATTGTTCTGAGAGGGGAGGTGGGGGTGGCACGGTGTGGCAGGCGAGCCCCTGCTGTCCCGGGATCTCGCTCAGCTGTTGCGGCTGCCGTCAGCACTCTCGGGGGCCACCCCCTGCCCGCCCGGCTCTAATCCAGAGACACGAGTGAAGGCTTGCGCCACTTCCGCACCTTCCGAGGCTTCCGTCGTTTCGGGCCTCCGATACTCCACGGCCTCCGCAGCCTCCGTCGACTCCGCCGTGACCTCCCTCTCCTTTTCTCTGCCCTGCTGCTGCAGCAGAGGGAGCACGGGTACCTCTGAGTCTTCTCGTGGGTTCTTCCGGGGTGCCCTGCAGTTGCGTCGGAGGAGGGGCGGTAGGGCTGTTGCTGCTGCTGCTGCAGCTGCTGTTGCTGGTGGGTTATGTTGCTGCTGCTGCTGCTGCTGCGGCTGCTGTTGCTGCTGCTGCTGCCCTGCTGCTGCGTCTGGGTTCTGTTGCTGCAGCTGCAGCTGCTGCTGCGGCTGTTGCTGCTGCTGTCCTGCTGCTGTGGCTGCTGCTGCTGCTGCTGCTGCTGCTGTTGCTGCTGCTGCTGCGGCTGCGGCTGCGGCTGCAGGTGCTGCTGCTGCGGCTGTTGTTGCTGCTGCTGTCGCTGCTGCCGCTGCTGCTGCTCCTGCGCGTGCAGCTGCAGCGGTTGCTGCTGCTGCGGCGCGGCCGCGGCAGCGCCGGCCGCGGCGGGCCCAAGCGCGGCCGCGCGGGCCACGGCGGCCACGGCGCCGGCCGCGTGGCCCGCGGCCGCAGCGGCGGCCGCCTCCGCCACGGCAGCGGCGGCGGCGGGGCAGCGGCAGCCACGGCGCCGGCGGCCGCAGGGGCGGCGGCGGCGGCGCCGGCCGCCGAACCCGCGGCGCCAGCCCCAGCGGCGCCCGCGGCGCCGGCGGCGCCCGCGGCGCCCGCGGCCCCGCTGGCGGCGGCGGCGTCAGCGTCGCGCCCGGCGCCCGCGGCGCCGGTGGTGGCGGGGGGGCGCCCGCGGCGCCGGCGGCGGCGGCAGCGCAGGCGGCGCCATTGGCGCCAGCGGCGCCCCGGCGGCGGCGCCGTCGCGGGCGGCCGCGGGGGCGGCAGCGCCGGCGGCGCCAGCCGCGTCGGAGGCGGCCGCGGCGGCCGCGGCGGCCGCACCAGCAGCCGCGGCGGCGCCCGCGGCGCCGCCAGCGCCAGGGCCTCCAGCCGGCGGAGGCCGAAGGCCGGGGGCTGGGGCGGCGCCGGCGAGGCAGGCGGCGGCCGCACGCCGCTGCCGACGCCGGCGAGCCGCCTGCGAGGGCGCGGCGGCGGCGGCAGGGCCGCGGCCAGGCGCGCGGCCGACCGCCAGGCCAGCGAGCGTCGCCATGGTAGGGGAGGGGCAGGTCAGGAGGAGGGCGCCCCCATCCCGACCTGCCCTGGGCAGCGCGCCCGAAGGGCGCAGGCGAGGCCGGCTCGGCTCGTCTCGACCCGGAACGGCTTGAGCCAGGGGGGTTACGGAACTGGTGGAGATATTTTTGTCCCTTTTTTTAAACAGCCGCAGGCGGAAGCGCCGGCGGCGGCGGGTCACGGTCGGGCTGCGGCCGTGACGAATTAGCCGGGCGCGCGCGGGGGCCGCGGATCAGGCGGCGGTGCTGGTGGAGATACGCGAAGCGTTCAGAATTCCGATTACGTAGAGTTCGAAGTTTTTCCGACACGTTGTCCAGCAATTGGTGTCAGGCGGTACCACAATACCAAACCGTGTGTTGAATCTATGTCGTGTACATCGTACACACCAAACGAGCCGTCATGACACATATCAATATTGCAGCGTACGGTCGTTAACACAAACGCCAAAGAGAACATGACATTTTGTGTTTTGGCCGTGCGGGGTCGAACCATACCTAAGCAAATGTATGTATGTATGTGTATATATAACATTATTTCGCACACGCCCTTGGTCCAATATTGCTTGATCTCGACAAGGCGCTGCAACTCCCAGGGCTTGGACCACCAGACCAAAGACATGCGCATACATATACATTGAATCCATCACATCTGCTGCCCTTGCACGACATCAACCTCAACCGCCAACACCTGCAGACTGCACGGCTCGCCTCCCCTTCCCCACCTCCCCAGCGTAGCTCTTTACCCACTTGTCCCCCCTTTACCCCCATGTCGTATCGGCAGACATCAGCCCGCGCAAACCTGCTGGCCACATCGCACAGCATATCTCCAGCGGTGGAAATTCCCAAAGACAATTCAACATATTCGTACCGTGGCCTTTACATCCGTGCACACACTCTTCTTCGAACTGTCGGAAGGACGCTCACGAATAGGTTCCTGTCCAGTGTGACGAGTTGACGTGGACGAACATGTTGGAGGTCTGTTCTGCAAGCTGTGCTGGTTGGGGGTGCGGGTCACGGAGTTGGTCCAGGGCTGGTTGCGCTCCAGGCGCGTTTCCCTGGGACGTCAAGCTCCGAGCTGCGTGGCCGAGTTCTCCTGCTTTCGGCAGCTTTGAAGAGTGATTGAATTGACGATCGATCGGATTATCATCGGCATTCATTATCCCACGCTCCAATTGGGGATGCTGCTGATTTCCTTGGCGACGTAATCGCCCTCGAGAATGCATTCATGGTTTTTGGTTGTCATTGTCGCCGGTGGGGGCTGCTCACTACATTCTTCTTCCGGAGAAAGACCCAACCATGCGCCATTGTGAATACGCAGTTGTGGGTACCGCTTTCGGATGAGCTCCATATGGGGCCACGAACCGTCTGAGGGGTGTACCAAAATGGGCGTCGGGCGCATGCGGCCTGTGCCACTGGGGCCTTCGCTGGACCTCCCCGTGGGGCCACGAGCCGTGTGAGGAAAGTGCTCAAATGAGCGGCGGTCCCGCATGCGGACAGTGCCGCTGGGGCCTTCGGTGGAGCTCCCTGTGGGGCCACGATCCTCGTGCGGGGTGTGCCAAAATGGGTGGCTGTCCCCGCATGCGGACCTGCCCCTGGAGCCTTCGGTGTGGGGCCATGAACCGTGTGAGGTGTGTGTGTGTGTGTGTGTGTGTGCCTAAATGGGTGGTGGTCCCCGCATGCGGACCCTGCCACTGGAGCCTTCGGTGGAGCTTTCTGTGGGGCCACGAACCGTGTGAAGGGTGTGCCAAAATTGGTGGCGGTCCCCGCATGCGGACCCTGCCGCTGGGGCCTTTGGTGGAGCTCCCTGTGGGGCCACGATCCGTGTGAGGTGTGTGGCTAAATGGGTGGCGGTGGCGCATGCGGACCCTGCCACTGGAGCCTTCGGTGGAGCTTTCTGTGGGGCCACGAACCGTGTGAGGGGTGTGCTCAAATGAGCAGCGGTCCCCGCATGCGAACACTGCCGCTGTGGCCTTCGGTGGAGCTCCCTGTGGAGCCACGATCCTCGTGAAAGGTGTGCCAAAATGGGTGGCGGTCCCCTCATGCGGACCCTGCCCCTGGAGCCTTCGGTGTGGGGCCATGAACTGTGTGTGAGGTGTGTGGCTACATGGGTGGCGATCCCAGCATGCGGACCCTGCCACTGGAGCCTTCGGTGGAGCTCCCTGTGGGGCCACGATCCTCGTGCGGGGTGTGCCAAAATGGGGTGGCTGTCCCCGCATGCGGGCCTGCCACTGGGGCCTTCGGTGGAGCTCCCTATGAGGCCACGAACCGTGTGAGAGGTGTGTCAGAATGGGATGGGCATGCGGAGAGCAGAGGCAAGGGATGGGAGGAGGGAGGAGGGGGAGGGGGCAGCGGGAGGTGAGGTGAGGTGAGGTGAAGGTGAGGTGAGGTGACGCGGGGCGCTGTCTCTTCAAAACGAGGACCCAACACCACAGGGTGGTTGGGAAAACACACAAGAGCGCCCTCGACTCTGAAGCCGCATGGTGATTTCCCTCGGACCCTCGTGGAACCGCCACCAGATCTCGCGGTAGTCCGCCTGCTTCGGGAGGCTTCTCCTCCCTTCCCCCTCCTCCTCCCGTGGCCACTCCTGATCATTTCTCCTGCTCCACTCCCTTGGTCACTACTGATCCTCGACGGATCCTTCTCATCCTGCTCCCCTCCATGGTCCTTCTCCTCCTCCTCCTCCTCCTCCTCCTCCTCCTCCTCCTTGTCCCTTGTTCACTCCCGATCCTTCCTCCTGCTCCCTGGCCCCTCCCTGCCAGGGAGAAGCGGCGGAGGGCATTGTGGCCTGGCCCTCAGCCCCGCTCGCGGCCGCGCAGACGCACGCCCCGCTCGCGTTCGCGCCCGAACCCGCCTGCCTCGAGGCCGTGCCGGTGCCGCTTGCGCCTGCAAGCGGTCGCGCCCGTGCCGGGCCGCGCCGGCGATGGCGCGCGGCCGCGCACGGCGCGCGGCCGGGGCGAGGGCGTGCGCAGAGCCCGCCGCCGCAGCACTGCAGGGGGGGCTTCTGGGCCCGCCGCCGCGGGAGCACCGCAGCGCCACAGCACCGCCGCAGCACCGCAGTCGCCCCGCGGCGCCGCCAGGGGCTACCTCGTGGGAGGCGCGTGTGCGCGCGTCGTTGGCACACGCGCGTCGGCGTCGTCGTTGTGTGGTGGCGGTGATGGTCGTCATGGTCGTTCTGGTGGTGGTCGCAGCGTCGCCGTGGGAAGAGGCGGGGAGGACGCGGACGAGAAGGAGGAGGAGCAGGAGGATGAGGAGGAGGAGGCAGATGAGGCGGAGGAGGCGGAGGAGGAGGCGGAGGCGGAGGAGGAGGCGGAGGAGGAGGAGGAGGAGAAGGAGGAGGAGGAAAAGAGGAAGAGGCAAGGATGGGGGAACACGGAGGGGCGATGAGGAATATACTTGAAGGAGTGGGGGCGGACGTGGAGAAAAAATGAAACATGCCTGAAGGAGGGAAGCGGTGGGCGAATCAAGAACAAATGCGGGGGGGGGGGGGTAAAGGGGCAGCAAAGGGAGGAATGACGAACAGGAGGAGTGGGCGGTGACCCTGGAGGAGGAGACTGATAACGAGGAGGAGAATGAGGATGATAATGAGGACGGAGAGGGGAAGAGGCGAAAGAGGACGAGGAGAAGGGAATAGGAAGAGAGATCGGCGCCTCGGCTCGTCCTCATCCCAGTCCTCTGGGAACACCACGGCGTCGTCTAGGCCATCGCCTCCGCTGGGCAGCGGTGGCGACGCGCGAATGAAAATCCTCCTCCTCCTCCTCTTTCTCTCCGCCTCCTCGTCGTCCTCCTCCTCCTCCTCCTCCTTCTCTTCCTATCCGCTGTTCTGGCACGAAGGAGCGACGGGCGGGCTGAAGGGAAGGGCGCACGGCCACCCACTGGGCACCAAGCGGGCGCTTGTGCGCGTGATGGTGCGGCCCGTGGGCCAGTGGGCGCTGCGCGCACTCGGGTTTAACCCCGATGTTCGCGACGGGCACCAGGATGCGGGAGATTGTGCAGAGCTGTGCGGATCTAGATCTGGTGACGTTGGCAGGCACCCAGCAGAGCCACCGCCGAGCGAAAGAGGTGCTGACTCGTCGAGCGAGTCAGCGTCTGGTCGTGGAGGCGGAGGCGACCGCGTCACAGTTCTCGAACGAGTCGACAGGCTGTGCGATAGTCCTTCGATCGAAATTCGGCGATAAGCACGTGAAGCAGGCTTGGGCCAGCCCGCCAGAAGCTGGAGGTCGTGCATTGGCAGCGAGAACCCGCAGAGGAGCACTCGATTTGGCAACACCGGTGATGTACTTACCGCCCCAGCCTCGACACCCAACAAAGCAACCCCAATACACGGCCACGGTCAAACTGATTGGATATTGGCATGCTAATATTATACAGCGCCTCCCGTGTCGGTGCATACCACTCGTGTGCGTCGACCTCAGTGACGGTCAGGGAATCTCTCGCACTGCAGGGCAGTTGATTCGGATAGAGACATCTGCAATGAGCGAGGGTCGATGTACGATGTTCTCCTTTGGTCGGATTTGGGTGCGGACTTACAAGCATTCAGAGGGCCACGGCCGACGAAGCACGTTCCCTTGTCTATCGAGCTGCAGGGCATGCAACCCCCTGAGCAGGAGGCAAGCTTGATAGAAAATAGGTTGCGCTAGAACATTGATGATCGGATGGTACTGCCTACGAACAAGATATCGTCGTGGCGAGTTTCTTTCAGCAGTGGAAGCGTCTTCGAACGAGAACGAGGGCACTTGGAGGGTTATGTTGGCTCTTGGGCGTCCAGGCGAGATCTTTCAGCACATGGAAACAACACTAGTGCACGTACGGCAGCAGTTCTTCAGCCACCAGGTGCCGAACGACCCCTTGTATAGACAGACAGCTTCGGAGCGCGCCAAACTCCTTCGGGAGAGGGCTCGACTTCGTCGATCACGAGTAGGCATGGAGGAGGAGGGTGAGGAATTAGCGTTGGGTGAACAGCTATTGGCACAACCCACTCAGAACCTACGACGTCGACGGCAACATGTTGCTCGCACCCGACAGCAAGGCCTTCTTAAGGATATCGGGGAGGCATGGGAACAGCGTCGCATGGCGGAAGCGACGCGGCTCTCCCGCGTAGCAACTACGCGTCGTCATGGTCCAACGCCTCGGGACGGCACATTACTACGAAGGGCCACTTCACATCAGAAGCTCGTGTTGATCATTTGCCCAAGCGGGGCTGCGGATGTGGAATGTTAGCATTAGTCATTCCAAACTGCGAGGAGTGGTTGTAATATTTTCCATCAGGACCTGCCCCATATATCTCGGTGAAGGATTGCTCATTTGCAGGCGAAGACAAACAGAGGGTGACCACATATTTTCGTTCGACCACTAAGAATCGAACGGTACCGTCGGGCACCACACCCGCTGAAGTATGGTTTCTCTGTCTTTTGCCTGAGGCGAGCGTGATCACTCTGGGGCAAGGCCTGGGCTCCCAGCAGGAACTAACAGAGATGCACCTGTTTGAGCGAATCTTGGAAAAAGGTGGTCTTCGGCTTATCAGAGCTACGAATCGGACACCGATGAGATGACATTGTAATTCGGGGTGCAACGTTTAACACACTTAGCCTGGCGAAGGACCCAACAAGATGCAGTTGTGAGTACCGCAAGTATGAATATCTTCTTCGGTGGAGCTCCCTATGTGGCCACGAAGCGCTGTACTGGGTGGGTGAAGCGCAGGGAGCATGGGCTGTGCTGGGCGGTGGCTGTCGGTGGAGCTCCCTATGGGGCCACGGAACGCTGCACTGGGTGGGTGAAACGCAGGGAGCAAGGGCTGTGCTGGGTGGTGGCGGGCGCATGTGGGCGATGCCGCTGGGACCTTCGCTGGAGCCCCCTATGGGGCCACGAAGCGCTGTACTGGGTGGGTGAAACGCAAGGAGCAAGGGCTGTGCTGGGTGGTGGCTGACGCATGCGGGCGGTGCCACTGGGACCTTCGGTGGAGCTCCCTATGGGGCCACGAAGCGCTGTACTGGGCGGGTGAAACGCAGGGAGCAAGGGCTGTGCTGGGCGGTGGTCGGCGCATGCGGGCGGTGCCAGTGGGACCTTCGGTGGAGCTCCCTATGGGGCCACGAAGCGCTGTACTGGGTGGGTGAAACGCAAGGAGGAGGGGGAGGAAGGCCACGAAACGCTGTACTGGGTGGGGGGGGCGCATGCGGACGGTAGACCTGGAACCTTCGGTGGGGCTCCCTATGGGGCCACGAAGCGCTGTACTGGGTGGGTGAAACGCAGGGAGGAGGGGGAGGAGGGCCACGAAACGCTGTACTGGGTGGGGGGACGCATGCGGACGGTAGACCTGGAACCTTCGGTGGAGCTCCCTATGGGGCCACGAAGCGCTGTACTGGGTGGGTGAAACGCAGGGAGGAGGGGGAGGAGGGCCACGAAACGCTGTACTGGGTGGGGGGGACGCATGCGGACGGTAGACCTGGAACCTTCGGTGGAGCTCCCTATGGGGCCACGAAGCGCTGTACTGGGTGGGTGAAACGCAGGGAGGAGGGGGAGGAGGGCCACGAAACGCTGTACTTGGTGGAGGGGACGCATGCGGACGGTAGACCTGGAACCTTCGGTGGAGTTCCCGATGGGGCTACGAAACGCTGTGCTGGGTGGGTGAAGCGCAGGGAAGAGGGGAAAGAGGGAGGAGGAGGGGCCCAACGTATTCTCCTCTTTCTTTGTGTTTCCGTGGGGGCGGTGCGGCACAATGGGGCGGCGCCGCCATGCGGACACTGCCACTGGGGCCTTCGGTGGACTCCCCATGGGGCCACGAGCCGTGTGAGGGGTGCCCCAAAATGGGGCGCCGCCGCCGTGGAACTCCCTATGAGGCCACGAACTGTGTGAAAGGTGCGCCAAAATGGGGCGCCGCCATGCGGACCCTGCCACTGGGACCTTCAGCGGAGCTCCCTAAGGGGCCACGGACCGTGTGACGGGTGCGCCAAAATGGGGCGGCGCCGCCATGCGGACCCTGCCACTGGGGCCTTCGGTGGAACTCCCTATGTGGCCACGAACCGTGTCAAGGGTGCGCCCCCCAAAAAACGGCGCCGCCATGTGGACCCTGCCTGTGGGGCCTCCGGTGGAGCTCCTTATGGAGCCGCGAGCCGTGTGAAACAGTGTGCCGAAATGTGGCCGCGCCGCCATGTGAACCCTGCCACTGGGGCCTTCGGTGGAGCTCCCTACGAGCCGTGTGAAGCGTGCGCCCAAATGGAGCGGCACCGCCTTTTTTGACCCTGCCACTGGGGCCTTCAATGAAAATCCCCATGTGGCCACGAACCGTGTGAAAAAGTGCGGAGAAAAATGGTGGCGCCGCCATGTGGACCCTGCCTCTGGGGCCTTCGGTGGAGCTCCCTATGGGGCCACGAACCGAGTGAGGGGTGCGCCAAAATTGGGCGGCGCCGCCATGTGGACCCTGCCACTGGTGCCTGCGGTGGAGCTCCTTATGGGGCCGCGAACCGTGTGAGGGGTGTGCCGAAATGTGGCGGCTCCACCATGTGAACCCTGCCACTGGGGCCTTCGGTGGAACTCTCTATGGGATTACGAACCGTGTCATGGGTGCGCCAAAATGGGGCGGCACCGCTTTTTTTGACCCTGCCACTAGGGCCTTCACTGGAAGTCCCTATGTGGCCACGGACCGTGTGAAGGGTGCGGCAATAAAAAGGCGGCGCCGCCATGTGGACCCTGCCTGTGGGGCCTCCGGTGGAGCTCCTTATGGGGCCGCGAGCCGTGTGAAAAGTGCGCCAAACTGGGGCGGCGCCGCCATGGAGACCCTGCCTCTGGGGCCTTCGATGGAAGTCCCTACAAGGCCACGAACCGTGTCAAAAGAGAGCCAAAATGGGGCGGCGCCGCCATGTGGACCCCTCCACTGGGGTCTTCGGTGGAGCTCCCTGCAAGGCCACGAACCGTGTGATGGGTGTGCCAAAACGGGTGGCGGTCACCGCGGGAGGAGGATGGAAAAGAAGGATGCGGGAGGAACGCGGGGCGCCGTCTCTTCAAAACGAGGACCAACACCACAAGATGGTTGTGAAAAAAATACCAAGCCAGGACCCGCGGGATGGAGAACGGCACACGTTTTATTAACGTTTGGGAAGGCTTTCTACCCAGGACTCTTGTATGTGCCCCCGATGGCGATTGAGCATGGGTTCTGCCGTGGTCGCAGACGAGAAGATCCTTTTCTCGCAATTCAGCTTCTTCGTTGGCGGCTTCAGCGAGGGGTCCATTTCTTCGTTGGGCACGGGTCGATCCAGGATCTCAGGAGAACTTCAGGATGATGTTCGATATCTGTGACCTCGAATTGATCTGCAACGATGGTATTTACAGAAGTTCGCCGTCGGATCCAGGCCACAACCGAGGCTCACTAGTCTCTTGGCCAGGTCTGGAGTTTGTCGGCTCCGTTCCGCTGGAAGCGGACCTTGTTCCTCAATTTCGTTCAGAACGCAGCGCTGACTGGACTACGGCCAATGCTGTTGACAAACAAGCATTATCGAGAATTGGACGCTCTTATGGCAAGATATGGGAGGAACAACGGTGCAGGGGAAGGCGGTGTTACAGACGGAGGCGAGGAGGATGAGGACGCCTTCCAGCAAACAGATCATGCAGCATTGGCGTCTAGCAAGATCTTATACAGAACTACTTGTTCGCAAATTGGGCTGGTATCGAAGCTAGGCTCTCCGCCCGAGTCTCGCTCGCAGGAACTGTGCCTG